TAAGAAGCATTTCAAGGTCCTGGAGTGGCCTAGCCAGTCTCCAGATCTCAACCCCATAGAAAATCTTTGGAGGGAGTTGAAAGTCTGTGTTGCCCAGCGACAGCCTCAAAACATCACTGCTCTAGAGGAGATCTGCATGGAGGAATGGGCCAAAATACCAGAAACAGTGTGTGAAAACCTTGTGAAGACTTACAGAAAACGTTTGACCTGTGTCATTGCCAACAAAGGGTATATAACAAAGTATTGAGAAACTTTTGTTATTGACCAAATACTTATTTTCCACCATCATTTGCAAATAAATTCATTAAAAATCCTACAATGTGATTTTCTGGATTATTTTTTCTCATTTTGCCTGTCATAGTTGACGTGTACCTATGATGAAAATTACAGGCCTCTCTCATCTTTTTAAGTGGGAGAACTTGCACAATTGGTGGCTGACTAAATACTTTTTTTCCCCACTGTATATCCACAGTAAAAACGAGTCCTATATCGACATAACCTGAAAGGCAGCTCAGCAAGGAAGAAGCCACTGCTCCAAAACCGCCATTAAAAAAGCCAGACTACGGTTTGCAACTGCACATGGGGACAAAGATCGTACTTTTTGGAGAAATGTCCTCTGGTCTGATGAAACAAAAATATAACTGTTTGGCCATAATGACCATCGTTATGTTTGGAGGAAAAGCCGAAGAACACCATCCCAACCGTGAAGCACGGGGGTGGCAGCATCATGCTGTGGGGGTGCTTTGCTGCAGGAGGGACTAGTGCACTTCACAAAATAGATGGCATCATGAGGAAGCAACATCTGAAGACATCAGTCAGGAAGTTAAAGCTTGGTCGCAAATGGGTCTTCCAAATGGACAATGACCCCAAGCATACTTCCAAAGTTGTGGCAAAATGGCTTAAGGACAACAAAGTCAAGGTATTGGAGTGGCCATCACAAAGCCCTGACCTCAATCCTATAGAAAATCTGTGGGCAGAACTGAAAAAGCGTGTGCGAGCAAGGAGGCCTACAAACCTGACTCAGTTACACCAGCTCTGTCAGGAGGAATGGGCCAAAATTCACGCAACTTATTGTGGGAAGCTTGTGGAAGGCTACCCGAAACGTTTGACCCAAGTTAAACAATTTAAAGGCAATGCTACCAAATACTAATTGAGTGTATGTAAACTTCTGACCCACTGGGAATGTGATGAAATAAATAAAAGCTTAAATAAATCATTCTCACTACTATTATTCTGACATTTCACATTCTTCAAATAAAGTGGTGATCCTACCTGACCTAAAACAGGGACATTTTACCAGGATTAAATGTCAGGAATTGTGAAAAACTGAGTTTAAATGTATTTGGCTAAGGTGTATGTTAATTTACGACGTCAACTGTATACACACCTCTGAGAACATCCTACACATTTCCATTTGGTAGGCTATCTAATGTCATCAGTCGGGTACTGTCCTTGTATGTGACTTTTAAGTCATCAGTGTCATTTAACAAAGATATTTAGTTCATTATTTCGTTTTTTACATCTACTTAAATAAATAGTACTTTCCTAGGTTGAATTACTGAATTCTTATTCCCACATTGGAAAAACGTTACACCTACTAGTACCACACGACATTACCTCAAAATATGATTATGCGCAGATTGGGCACTGGAATGGACATTTTCCGATCGGTGAAGGCTTGGTGTAAAGACAGAATGGTACACTGATTAAGATTAGCCTACCTGTCAAAACCAGTTGTTGTAAAATTGTAGTCCAGATTTGATACTCCTACCAGTCATTTCATAATATAATCCCCGCGACATTCATCGATACGTTGAATCTTTCAAGTGGTGAAACAAAGTTACCATCTGCGCAAGGGGAGAATTACGGTTTTGGAGAGAACGTCATCAATTCTGTTGTATAAGGGGCAGTAGGGGAAATTGACTGGAGAAGTAGGAAGTGGGAGGGAGACCGAAAGTACTTATTGTACACACATAGAACCAGGTAGATAGAACAGACACATATAATTGAATGCAGGCAGCCAATAGTCTCAAATACGTTTGAAACAGTCTATTCCAATTTTGTAATTATCTCTGACTAACACATTGTCAGAAATGTTTTATTTTTACTGTCAAGAAAACACACAACACACCAGAAAAGGCAGTGTGTAACAAAATTGTAGAACATGGTTTTATTTCATAGACAGTACATTAAACACTTTCCCTGCATCTTCTCTAGAACACAAGAGCACTAATGAATTGAACATAAGGCAAATGGGCATATAAAAGTTTGCAAATCGCATGAACAAAAGTAAATGGACCACTAAAGCTGCATTGTGTTTAACACCAACACACACATTTAGAACAGAAATAATAATCCACTTTGGCTGACCAATTAAAGTCTCCCGTCCTCTCTTCTCAACTAATACAGTACTTACTATCAAAATACTCTTAAAAGCATATTAAGACTTGTTTCTTATCAATATAATACAACTAGTCTATATGCAGTCCACCAATACATGTAACCATTCAGGAGTCGGTTAAAGCATATCTTCAAATTGGTACTGCATATGAAGCATAAGTATTCCACATTTTTACACAGTCACCCCAACAGCACTGTAGTTTACTGCTGCACCAAAATACATAGAGTACACAGAGCATAGTATTTAACCAGCCAGTATTACAGTTTTCAAAGAGGAAGGGTTTGCCTTTATTATTCTATTTTCTTCCACAGAAAGGTAACAGTAAGGACAGATTGTTCCATTTCTTCAAGAACAATGCTCTTACACACCTTACACAAAATCAACACAGGGGAAATGCTTTACCTTTAAGAGCATCTTAAGTTACTGTTACTCAAATGCATACAGTGAAACAAAACCAAAATGGCTGTTTATTACGTATTATACACACATTAATACCATGGATACTGGACATAATGGATTATTAGGAATTTATCTTGGGAGACAAACACTGCTGTGACTGTTCAATGTTGCATTTCAGCTCAGATCAGGTTTTTGAGGTAAGGACACAAAAACTAAATGTAGGACAGTATTTGTGAGACTTGAAAGGTTCTTTAGTACTCTAAAGAGTTATTAACTTACACTGAATGATGCACTTACAGTATAGGGGGTCCAACTGGAACATCAATTACCTATCTATCTACATACAAAAATAGTGGTCTTCACATAAAACAATATGAATGTGTTTTATGCTGACAGATACCCACACAATTGGCAAGTCACATTTTCCACACACACGTACAATAATCCACATACAGAACAACGTTCAAATGTAGCCAGGTTACTTACAGAGAGATACTGTGCTTTTACATTCACATGGTTTCTATCAATGTGAGCGTGATTTCCTGTGCTCTAGGGATGATTGGCGTGGTTCAGGTGTGGAACTACAGGCGAGATGGAGGCACATTCCTCCCCATTAGGCTGAGGAGGGTGAGGGGGCGGCTCTGGGAGGAGGACTCTTTAAGACGACTGACTCTGGCACTTCTTCAGCAGGGAATCTGGAGGTCTGGGGTAGTAGCCGGTGGTGCAGGGTTTGTTGGGAGAAAACCTGGGGAACTTGTAGTCCAGAGGGAGATCTATGGAGGAGGAGAGAAAAATGAGTGAATAATATGACGTCACAGCAACCTGAGCTGAGACAGTAACCCCCAAAGCTCTGTCAAACCCAACCGTCACAAAAAGGAACAGAAACTATTTTAGAGTCACTTCTCAACAAGAATAAGGGATGGGTAGTAGAGGATATCTGGGGTCAAATGCCTCTTCAAACTAACAAAGCACGCCTCTCTCAAGACAACATACTACAGTAGTTAGGTAGGCCTTTACGCAACACAAGAGTCAGTGAGCTCCCATAGCCCTCTCCTCGCTGTACCTGCAATAGACTCCACACTGGGGATGGCCATGGTGCTGTATTTGTGGATGCTATGGCAGCACCAGGTGAGTTTCTGGCTCTCCTCGTCCCCTTCACCAGTCTTGTGTGCGTCCACAAAGTAGGATCCCCACTGTTCTGATGGAGCAGAGGGTGCCTTCATGCCCTGGTCCTGAAAGCACATCACAGGTGTTAATGAGGCAGTGCAGAGGGTAGTGCGTACGGCCCAGTACATCACTGGGGCCAAGCTTCCTGCATCCAGGACCTCTATACCAGGTGGTGTCAGAGGAAGGCCCTCAAAATTGTCAAAGACTCCAGCCACCCTAGTCATAGACTGTTCTCTCTGCTACCGCACGGCAAGAAGTACCGGAGCGCCAAGTCTAGGTCCAAAAGGCTTCTCAACAGCTTCTACCCCCAAGCCATAAGACTCCTGAACAGCTAATCATGGCTACCCGGACAATTTGAAATCCCCCACCCTTCTTACTCATCCTTATCAGTGCCATGCGTCGGTCCGATCTGTAAATCTCTAAAAAGTGCTGAAAGGAAGAGCATGCCTAAAAAACAGGATGTGGTTAACAAGTACGGACTCATAACAGATCAAACCAAAGGTAGCAGAAGACACTAATGCATCTATAATTACTCAACTCTTACAGATACTTCTTTGAAATGTGATTCAGTTAATCTGGGAGAAAGAGCATTACGTCAAATGAAAAAAAAAACTGTTGCTACTTTGTCCCTCTCTTGGTGAAAAGTGTGATGGAAGCTTTTTTACTTCCAACCAGACTTGGAGTTGCATGTTGAGAAGAAGTGTTTACGTTAGAAGTCATTAATAAAATAAAATAAATCCAAGATCTGTCATGTTAAAAGATCAGCTCTGAACTCTGAGCCATGGAAACATTCTGGCTACTTCTGCACCAACTACTTCTCCCTCTTCCCTAGTTTGGATCTTCTCTACAATGAACCTCATAATATATCATTAATAACTGGCAACGTGACGCAAAACATTACATACAGTAGCCTATTCATGTGGAAATTTCCACCAGATATTAAGGGACAAATTGTAACCAAAAGGAGTCTGGGGAAAACTGGTGAGAAACATGTAGTTCCAGGCAGTTCTCTTAAGACTGTCTTATTAATGTGTTACATACACTCTGGCTGCAGCAGAGCAAAAGAGAGATAGAGAGAGAAGGGGGTGGGGGGGGGGGGACAAAGAGGGAGGGAGAAGGGAAAAAGAGCATGAGAAAGAGAGGTGGAGGTGTGAGTCTAGGCAGAGACAATTTGTCCATCTACAAGGCCCTGTGCTCCAAACGTGGCACAACCCCCTCAGTCAGTCCCCTTCAGATGAAGGCGTCATCTATCCTAGTGGTGTTTTTTTTCCAAACTAGGAGGTTCCTCTCATTGCTCCTGGCAACAGACATGCTGCCTCATCTAACTTCTCTACTGTCAAAACATCCTCCATGGCCTGGTCAGTGAGGGAGGGGACAGCACTTGGTGATATTACATCCTGGTCATATGGATTTATTTATAGTTTCCTTCCTAGTAGTACGTCAGCTTCCCTAAAATGTTTATTTGCTGACTTTCCCGTACTCACACTAGGCTTACTCTGAGAAATACAGACTCGCATAAACTTGTTTCAACATCACCGCTTTTACAGGTTTCTCCTTTAGATGTGAAACTGTAATAATATGAAACCGCCACGGTATACTTACAACACTGTAATTGCTGAACGTCTCTTGATAATGCTTACAAAATGAAGACACGCACATTCTCAGACACACACACAAACACACATGCTACAGTGGGTATATTGTGGCACTGAACCAATGGACTGGTTGTTGGGTGAATCTGTCTTTTAGGCAGCAGGGGCAAGGTGGGCGAGCATGTTAAACGGAAACAAGTGCTGGTGCGAACTTACCTCAAACTTTCCCTTCTTCTCCTGAGGCTCCGCTTGGGCCTCGTTGGTCTCCGCTGCGTCGCTCCTCGGGACGCCCTCTCCCTCCATTTCCTCCACGATCATCACCGTTTCCCACTTCCCAAACGTGTTAGCAGGGAACATGTCCGACCGCATGCTATCCCCAAAGTACACCACCTGTAGAGGGTAGGAGACAGGACATAGACAAAGAATGAGTCCATTATCTGAGCAGCTGCTCTGTAAATGTAGATTTTTCATATAGTAACTACTTCTTTATATGATTTGTAAAGGTTCAGTTGTAAAGCGCTGATAAAATAGCAATTTGGCTGGATTTATTTCAAAGGGGGCGTTCAGTCGTAGTCGAATTCAATAAAGCTGACGTGTCTTACTGCCACTTAGGGCAAACTAGACCAGACACGATGTGGCTGTGAAACTCATCACGTCTTCTTTGACCATCATGTCTCTTTTGTACTCTAGCTATGGCTGGAAAGAAAAACACGTTAAGACAGGCTTAGCTGAACAGCATACCAAAACTGACTGGTAACCCCTTTCCTTACATTCAAAACCCACTGCAACAAATGTAATTAGTTGTATTCCTTGCAACTCCGATGGAAACTAAGGGTTAAGAAGAGCGTCAGAGGGATTAGAGAACCACTAGGAAAAACAAACTAGAATGCTGCCTTAATGGAATCAGCTCTTTAAAGGAAATAGCTCCTTGAGTTTCAGCACATCATCAAACCCTGACTTCTTGAGGGGTCATTTTAAGGAGCGAATAAAGGTAATTACACCAGGCCACTGAGGCCAGTGTTCTATAAGGATAATGAGACAATTTTGGTGCTAAAGACACACACTTAAAGAGTCCTTCACACAGCGCTCTGTGTGGAATGCAGAGTGGCGTGTATGTGTGTGTGTTTTGGAGGGGGGCAGACACCCATAAAGAGAAGGTGGTGAGGGAGGAGTGGAGGGTCTCTAATGTGTTCATGTGGGCTGCTGGACTCGCTCCGGAAACCCCCTCCACTTCTCAGGCCTTTTACAGTGTCTGTGACCAGGTCTTGCAGTTCCACACATAAATAAACAGGACAGCCAGCCGGCCAGCCGGGGCCTAGGCTGTGGAGCTGTGAGCTGGGCCTGTGGAGCTCTGGTTCTGGGGCGGGCTTAGGCATCAGGTTTTCAGAGAAACAGGCCACGGAGAGGGAGAGAGAGAGAGAGAGCACTGCTGCGGAGTGCACTGATCCTTTTTCATCTTCCCACTGCAGCCAGAGGCATCGGATCAGCACGATAAATATTTACAGGGCAATTCCAACACAGTGGCAAAACATTATAGAGAGGCTTTCATGGGGCTCGCTAGATACTAAACACACTTTCATAAGGCTGGGACGAATAACACAACATAATTCAGGTTTCAACTACAACAAGACTGCTCTTCTCAGACTCTTTCCCCAGAAGTTGCGACTTGCTACAACCTGCAGCTCCCTCCCTCCCCCTAGGAAAAAGTTCATGTCAGCCTGACAACATGGCCTTTCCCCTGGGGAGGAAACAGGGTGAACAGGTCTGGAGAGCCACAGAGAAGCACAGCCCAATTGTGTGGGGCCTGGCTGGGACAGACAGAAGTTGCATCCCAAATGGCACCTTGTTCCTTATGTAGTACACTACTTTTGACCACAGCCCTTAGGGGTGCCATTTGGGATGCAGACAGACAGAGAGGAGGGAAGGGGAGATCACATATCGGACATGAGAGGGCCAGGGATATAAGGACTATAATCCATGTTACTTAGTCCCCGATCATTACATAAAACTGTAATGACACAACAGAACTTTAAGAATGGTTAATCGTGTCTGGGGGGAGAAAAAGGTCTGAGATTCCAGATAGAGAGAGAAGTGGGTGGAGTATGTTTACTACAGCAAAATGACTCAGAGGAAAATGAGTGCCATTTGAATAATTTACTCATTGAGTCTATATGAGCATGGCAGCTCAGTGTCTAAGCTTTGATCCTCCATGTCACAGCCAGACCTGTGCTAACTGCTACAGGGGACTGTAATCTGCCCTGAATGCCTCCCATTCAGCCGGCCTAGCGGGCCTACATTAAGTCCTGTCAGGTGAAAGTGAGGAGAACCCAAAACGGACTGCCTCAGGTCACGGTTAGTGCAATCTGGGATGCTTGGGACATCCCTACCCTGAACCTTAACCCGAACCTCAACCTCAACCCCTACCCTTAACCATAAACCCTAACCTTAACCATTTTAAATCTCAACTTCAATGGGGGGTTTATGGACATCCCAAGGATCCCGGATAGCAATGACCCTCTGGTCACCCCAGAGGGGCTGCCTTAAAGCTGCCATAAGTGTAGGTTGACACTGCATTCCTCGAGCGCTTTCTCCACGTGGCCCGAGAACAGAGGGGGCATTGAGCGCTCCTGGCCGGGTGGGAGGGGTGGAGGGTTGGAGGAGGGGGAGAGGGAGAGGGAGAGGAGGCTGAGGACGTGGATGATGGGCGTCCCTGGATGCACTCGAGGGGGCACGAGTCAGTGAGCCGGGGCCTTTCCTTAAAGCTGAGAGAGGCCTCAAAACAGAGTCTCAGAGTCAGAAGAGCTGCCTGCCTGCCAGAGATCGTATAGGCTGTGTACTCTCAGCAGGCTCTCTGGCTGGCACTCTAGCCCTGTCGACACTTATGCCAAGGTCTGCAGGTGTACACGGCCATGTTTCCCTCTCCTTCACACCGGTGCGAATAACCACAAGCTGATTTATAGAGGACGTCAGATCTCTGTGCGTTTGCCAGGAACGGAAACCTACACTGTTGCATGGATAAACATTTTTACACAAATCCCAGGATAATATGGAAGTGATGTAGTTATTTGGATATATACTGAACAAAAATACAAACTTAACATGTAATGTATTGGTCCCATGTTTCATGAGCTGAAATAAAAGATCCCAGAAATTTTCTATATGCAGAAAAATGTTTATTTCTCTCAAATTGTGCGCACAAATTAATCCCTGTTAGTGAGCATTTCTCCTTTACCAAGATAATCCATCCACCTGACAGGTGTGGAATATCAAGAACTTGATTAAACAGCATGATCATTACACAGGTGCACCTTGTGCTGGGGACACAACACAATGCCACAGATGTCTCAAGTTTTGAGGGAGCGTGCAATTGGTATGCTGACTGCAGGAATGCCCACCAGAATTTAATGTTTATTTATGTACCATAAGAATTTAATGTTTATTTCTGCACCATAAGCCGCCTCCAACATCCGTTTTAGAGAATTTGGCAGTACGTCCAACCGGCCTCACAACCGTAGACCACGTGTAACCACGCCAGTCCAGGACCTCCACATCTGTCTTCTTCACCTGTGGGATTGTCTGAGACCAGCCACCCGGACAACTGATGAAAACTGAGTTTGCACAACCAAAGAATTTCTGCACAAACTGTCAAAAACCGTCTCTGGGAAGCTCATCTGCATGCTCATCGTCCTCACCAGGGTCTTGACCTGACTGCAGTTCGGCGTCGTTACCGACTTCAGTGGGCAAATGCTCACCTTCGATGGCACTGGCACACTGGAGAAGTGTGCTCTTCACGGATGAATCCCGGTTTCAACTGTACTGGGCAGATGGCAGACAGCGTGTATGGCGTCGTGTTGGTGAGTGGTTTGCTGATGTCAACGTTGTAAACAGAGTGGTGGCGGTGGGGTTATGGTATGGGCAGGCTTAAGCTAAGGACAACGAACACAATTGCATTTTATCGATGGCAATTTAAATGCACAGAGATACCATGACGAGATCCTGAGGCCCATTGTCGTGCAATTCATCCGCCACCATCACCTCATGTTTCAGCATGATATAATGCACGGCCCCATGTCACCTGGAACTGTGCACAATTCCTGGAAGCTGAAAATGTCCCAGTTCTTCCACGGCCTGCATACTCACCAGACACATCATTGAGCATGTTTGGGACGTGTACGACAGTGTGTTCCAGTTCCCGCCAATATCCAGCAACTTCGCTCAGCCATTGAAAAGTACAACATTCCACAGGCCACAATAAACAGTTTGATTAACTCTATGCGAAGAAGATGTGTCACGATGCGTGAGGCAAATGGTGGTCACACCAGATACTGACAGGTTTTCTACTTTTCTTTTAAGGTATCTGTGACCAACAGATGCATATCTGTATTCCCAGTGATGTGAAATCCATAGATTAGGCCCTAATGAATTTAATTCAATTGACTGATTTTCTTATATGAACTGTAACTCAGTAAAATCTTTGAAATTGTTGCATGTTGCATTTATATTTTTGTTCAGTGTATTTCTATACAGCTTGTTAGTCATTTCAACACATGATCAGTAGTTGTTGAGCAGAATTTCCTCTTGAAGGACAATCAATCAATCTTACCTTGGGCTCAGGATTGCCAGTCATGGTCTTGAGCAGCTCGTGGAGGTGGGGCCAGTTGCCTTGAGAGTACCAGCCAGGTTTGTCCAGGGACAGCAGCCCCTCGCTCTCCTCCACATCATTCACTACAGCCAGGACAAAGACAACAACAACCACAAAGTCACCACACAGCTCGACTACACCGTTCAACGACATGAACATACACGACCACACCGCTCAGCACACAACCACAACACCGCTCAACCACATAACTCAACACTGGGCCCACAAGCAAATGTGACTCATTTCAGGAAACTAGGCATATGTCGCTCATCACTACTTCACAGGAGAGGCATGTAAGCATAAACTTATCAAGATGCGTTTTTTGGCAGAAATGCCTTCTGGAACATGCAAACTTTCATGTGCCTTAATAACAAACTTGTATGCCATCTGTAAATACAAATACAATTGTTAGATTACGAGCCTAGTTGGTTTAGCCACGGAAAAAGACAGGAACCTTCCCACTAGCCATGATTGGCTGAGATATTGGATGTACTGGACATGCCGAGAGATGAGTTCGGCCTGTCTATAACATGAGCTGGTCGGTATGTGTAGGTAATCCTTTCTAAAGCAGATTTTTTTGAAAGATATCACATAGTAGAACTGCAAAAGTGTTGTTCTCCACTTTTTGGAGGACTGAGTTTTGAAATCAGTGGAATACCCGGTGGAATTAGAGTACGATAGCTAAGGAGATGGAGAAAATTCTGGCGTTTGATTGCAAATATGCAGAGGGAGTCGAAAAGAGAACACACAGAAGGCTGTTGTATAAAACACCTGTCTCCGGATTACATCTTCAAACTAAGGGCAACCATGGCATCTGTGACAGATAGGGAGAAGCGTCCATCCATGTATACGGGTAAGAGAGTCTAGCTAGCTTCATTTTCAGATATTATACGTTTCTAATTTTGTCAGAAAGTCGTTTTCATTTCATGTTAAAGTGTACTGTTAGTTAGCTAACGTTAGCTGGCTGGCTCGCTAGCTAACGTTACGTGTATAATCTGTGTAGTAATATTATTTGTATCTCAGAGCCATTTGCATTGCTAGTTATAGCCTAATGTTAGCTAGCTAGCTATCATTGAACCTGGTTGGTTAGCTACCTGCAGATTCATGCAGGGTAGTAACATTATGAGTTGGGATTATGGTTAATTGTTTAGCTAGCTAGCTACATGTGTAAACAAAATACTCTACTATGCAAGTAACCATTTCACTACACCTTCTGTATCCTGTGCATGTGAGAAATCAACTTTGATTTGATTTGATATAGTATGTGACGGTAATGTGAAGGACATGACCTGCACCAAAGTCAAATTAGGATATAACGTTAGGCCAACGAGACAGTGTCCAAGTTCTAAAATTCTCCGGTAGAATGCCCTGCTTTTATTGTGACACTCACAACCGTAAGCTATTTTCTGTAATTGGCTCCCCATTAACTTGTAAATAATGATCTTGTTGTGAGTTTATTTTCCTGTAATAATGAAGATGGGTGGCAGGTAGCTTAGTGGTTAAGAGCGTTGTGCCAGTAACCGAAAGGTCGCTGGTTCTAATCCCCGAGCCGACTAGGTGAAACATCTGTTGATGTGCTCTTGAGCAAGGCACTTAACCCTAATTGCTCCTGTAAGTTGCTCTGGATAAGAGCGTCTGCTAAATGACTAAAATGTAAAAAGACAAATGAGCTAAAGTGAAGACATTGTCAGCTATATGATATGGTCATTATTTGAACTGGATAGCCAGCTAACTTAACATTAGCTAACAAGCTAGAAACGAAGCAAAACATTGTTTAGAAAGTTGCTTTTAGTTCCCTGGTTTGCTAGATTGACATTTACTAAATTCATTTTTAAACGGGTGGATTTATTGGCTATTTTGGATCACCAGGCTGCTGATGTCATGCAGCCTGTAGTTTTTGTGTTTATACTTTTTCATTGCAACAAAATGTTTGATGTCGGACGACATTAGAATGTTCATGATGTCACTGCGACAACTGTCGATAGATGTAATATAAACCAGCCTTTAGTTTTGAAATCTTTGGTTGTTTAGTACATGGCCTAACATGTGAATCCTTAAAGAGATGGGTGGGGCTAAGGCTTAAGAGGGTGTGAACTATACTGAATGGGTGTAGACTAAGAAGAGCATAAAACATTCAAGGGCCATTTTCTCAAAAAGTTGATCAACTTTCAAAGCAGAATTACTTAACCATTGTTCCTCAACTGTACTGTATGATATACACTTTTCTCTACTACAAAGTCTCTACTTTTATCCAATGTAAAAAACAAAATTTGAAATGTTGCTACATAAGACCGAATTGAGCCGGTTTGTAACAAAAATGGATTCTAACAACATGGATCCTTCCATATACAGCACTTGTGAGGGATAAAAGTACCTCATTTAAAAGATAGATTTTTCACAGGGGAAATGTGCCTTATTGGAGCTACTGTACTTCCATAAGTATGTTTCCTAAACAGATATAGTGCACTACTTTTGAACAGGGCACATAGGGCTCTGGTCAAAAGAAGTGCACTATATAGGGAATAGCTTGCCATTTGGGACACAACCATGGATGCTCGCCTGCTTCCTCCTCTCATACCCCCACAGGTGCAGTGATCCAGTGTGGCCTGGCGTACCCCTATCTCAGCCACCAGACAATGGTGTCAGCGTCTCAGTGAAGAGGAACACTTCCAAAGGACTACTTCCAAAGAAACACTTTGCTTTTTCAGGCACTCACTCACAGAAGTCACACATTATACAGTACAGGAAAGTGTGTCAATGACCTCATGGAAGCATTTACAGTTAATAAATAACACCCAAGGATCTTTCCAGACTTCAGGAACAACGTGGTTTATGTCTTAATGCTCAACAACAGCCAAGTACTTTTCACTAAGAGAAAAAGTCTGTATATAGTCATTCCTGGTTGACTAGAGGAGGTTTTGGCCTGCTTGATTGGGCTGCTGCTGGTTAGCAATAACAACAGTCTGTTTCAGTTTGAGCAAGGGGGTAGTGGAGCATAGCCAAGATAAGATACAGAGAGGCTGGAATCTAAACTGCACCACACAATTCCCAAAGCATTACTCACACATTAGAAACTGCCGGGAGGGAGGCCCCGGAAAGTTCCTTGAAAACAGTAAATAGAACTGTATAACCTTTGTTATTCATATTGTGTGTCATCTTCAAAGTCGTTGTGCCCTGCTTTTAGGGACCCTGCACTTGGAAGTGGGTGATTGCACTTCTGGACAGGAGAAGAAATCAGTCTTAAGGACAACTGATTGGTGCTTAAGACCAGCAGCCGGAGAAGCTCTACTTTCATTTGTTAAAAGGACATCCCTTGACAGGGTGGGCTGCAGGTTCATGCTAAGGTTAAATATGATATAAATATTGTTGCAGAAGATAGAAAGCACACACTTGGGGACACACACAAACACAAACACAGCTGTGAGGACGTACAGACCTTGACAGTAGATGGAATTAGAAGTATGTGGTCTCTGGAAGCCCACAACTGAGCACAAAAACACACATTTCTATCTCTGAGCCCCCCCTTCCCCCCACGCACACACTACCACAAAAAATACCTGGCACCTATTAGAATGTGCAATCCGGTGGCGTTTTCACTGTAACCAAAGTGAGGCTGTATGCACAAGGCAAATATTTAGAGAGACCTGGCCTGGCTGACATCCTCTGGACAAATGACTGCTGAAGGAAGGTCATGCTTAATAAGCGACTGGGAGGAGTCTGACGCTAGCAGCCAAAGTAAAGGATCCATTTCTAAAACCATTTAGTCTAATACAGTCCCTGGCAGGAACTGGGCTCTTCTTAAGGAGTATATCATGTTCTCCTGTCCTGTATAAGACTAGAGCCCATTGACTTACACACATACACTGTGTGACTATGTGTACAGAATTTGTGACCTTTAGAATGATTGATAACTTGTTGAATATTACAGGACATAAAACTGCACACGTGGTTGTGGTGACACGATAGCAACCTGCTGATAGTCAACTAGCTTAGCTTTGGACTAAACTTAGCTGAACTTGTCATCTCTTTAGCTGATCACCTCTTTATCTGATCAACTTGACAGAATCACTATAGCAACACTATTAGAACATAACTGAGGCAAATAAGTAGTGCATGACAGTTATGCTGTAATGAAAAAAGCCCCAAGGCATACAGTATCTCTGCTACAGTATGGAATAAGATCTCTCCCAATATCTCTGCTACAGTATGGAATAGCAGCAGCCACTGACTGAGGCTATATCTGCCAATGTGGCGAGGGCTGGAGGAGGTATGAATATTTGAGCAACTGGGTCATACATAACGCATCCATTCCTGGCAGAAACACAGTCCAGATGGAGGAGCATTCCAGAGCCTGTGCACACCTTTAGGAACTGACCGGGATTAAATATCAGCTACCTGAGCAGGAAGACTGGGATCATGTGTGGATAACAGATCAAATTAGAAATACTGACAGCTAATATAAACCTAGTTTAAACCCTACTATGTCTGCAAGGAGAGGTGGTGTGATGGTCACCACCTGTCTTGATGCTAGTTTATCTTATAGGTTTCAGAAGAGATTTGATTTGACGTTTGGGTTTTATCTTCTGGAAGACATCTCCATAAGTAGTGCTTTTCTCATCCCCAAAAAATGAAATAATTTGCAGTAATCACCATCATGAGATTCCACTGGGCTGTAAAGTCCACAGCCCTGTAATGTGCTCTTTGATGTTGGCAGAGAGCTGATCTACAGTGCTTAGTGTTGGAGAGGAGTGAACTGTACATAGGGTACTGATGGTTGACTGGGAAGTGGGATCCTGTATGGACAGGCAGACATACAGACAGGCAGGGAAGCAGGTACTGTAGTCAGGTACTCACCCAGGGTCCTGAAGGGCCTCTGTTGGGGCACCAATGAGAAGAACCCAGGCTTCAAGGCATTGGTGATGATGATGTCAAACAGCTCCTCCCAGTCCTTCCTGCAACAGCCAATAAGAAGCAAACCCCTGATTACTAAAATACATCAGCAAATACAGGCTCAGTGTGAGGTCAAAGCTTGGACACCAACCAACTGGATTTGTGTAGCACACAAAAACTCTTACTTTAACTAAACATTGGGGAGTTGATGAAAAACATGAACCATAAACAGTGTATTTAGGAAAAAGGCATGAGGGAAATGT